GCTTCAAAAATACATCTGTGAATCAGAAATCCCCAAATCCCCGTGGGAAGTGAAAGCTACCCCTGTCCGAAGGGGCAGGATGCCCTAAAGTGAAGCACCGCAGGGGCTGGGGGGTGGGGAGCAGTGTCGGAGCAAAGGGCAGAGCCACACGCAGCAGGCAGGAACAGAGCTTCTCCCCTGCAGTCCATGTGAGAATAAGTGGGCAGGCTCAGGGCCTGGGAGCATGGTCTGGGCTGTGGGAGCTGGGCAAGCAAATCTGCGTCCAGCCCTTTCTGGTTCTCTCCTGGATGCCTTAACTCCGGTCCTCAGAATCTCAAATCTAAGCCCACACCATTTACGTGTATGCAGGTAGATTAATGTTCTTGGTGATAAAGGTGAACATGGACCTGGATGCTAGCACCACGCCCAGGCCTTCAATGACCCGACCTTATTTGGAGAAAATGCTAAAATACCACATTCAAGCTGGGCCCTCCACCAGCCCTCCTGCAGGCTCCCCCACCCCTCCCAGTGAACGGCAAGTTCCACTTCTCAGGCTGAAAGCTGTAGCAGGCCCTGACCCTCCTTTACTCCCACATCGGGTCCCTCAGGAAATCTCCTGCCTCTCCCTGCCAGACACATCAGTGTTTGACCACTTCTCGCACTTGCTCTGCTGCACCTGGCCCCACAGTCTAGCACCTGTCCCCCATCTCACTGCCTCCGCCGTGTCCCCCTCCAGTCTTTCTCAGCACAGCAGCTCAGATCTGCCCACTCCCTCCTCCCTGATCACCTACTCTCCACATCCTTCTCCCCGCTCCAGCCATGATGGCCTCCTCCTCCTCCCTCCTGGAAGCCACCAGTCCTATGCTGGCCTCAGGGCCTTTGCTCTTGCTCTTGTGCTGCCTAGAATGCTTGCTTCCCTAGGTATTGACAAAGTGGCTTGTTCCCTTCCTTCCTTCAGGTCAGTCCTTTGAGACTTTCTGGAGAACCTCATCTGAAAGTTAACTCCTCCCCCTAGAAGTCATAGCCCCTTTCCTTGCTTACTTTTTTCCTTCTGAATGTTTATCACTATCTAACATATGATTTATTTATCTTTGTTTATGTTTGGATTTCTGCCAACCACAATATGAGAATCATGAGGGCAGGAATTTTGGGGGGTCTCTTTTGATCACTGCCATGTCTCCACCACCTAGAACGATGCCTGGTACATAGCAAGCACCCAGCAGATACTCACTGCAAGAATGAATATGAAACCAAAATGTTGGATTTCACAGTAATCAAGAATCAAAGATCACCTGACTACTTGGGAAATAGGATCTCTTGCTGGAGTGGTGACCAGGATGGCTCAGACTTCACAAGGCCTGGAATTGGTGCTATTAAAAAAAAAAAAAAAATCAAAATAGTCAAAGAGGCCCAAACAGTCAGTCAGAGAGTCTGCATGTTTATGTTTTAATGTGTAAGAGATGTAAGAGACGGAACAGGCAGGAGACCCTGACCACGGTCAGGAAACCCAGACCACGTAAGTATTATGCGGAGGAAATTCTGGTTCAAGACTCAGCCCCACTGGTGTAGGGTGTAGAAAAACCAAAAGGAACCCCTTGGTCACTCAGAGATAATATCCACAGGAAGCAGCTATCTCCATCTCTTTGGGTTGGGGCACCAGAAAGGATGGGTGAGTACCTCAGATCCAGAGGAAGAAGAGGGTGAGGTGGGAAGCCAAGACTCTAAGAAAAAAGGATGGAGGAGGACAGAAGCAGGACTAGTCCTGAGGTCAGCCTTGCCCAAGAGAAGGCCAGGAAGGTGAGTGAGCGAGGTCCCCCCACTCGTGCAGGGCCCGAAGCACCTTTAGACGTGCGTCATTGTGAAACATTCAAGGCCACGGACGGTCCCCGAGCCTAACACCACAGTGTGTGTACCAAAGGGAAAGAAAACCACATTCTCTCCACATAAACACCCTCCCCCACTGCAAGACTTGAGGGACTAAGAAAAAGGGCTCAGCAACCCTTTAAAATCGGAGGGTGAGATGAACCATGAGAGACTATGGACTCCAAGAAACAAACTGAGGGTTCTAGAGGGGAGGGGTTGGGGGGATGGGTTAGCCTGGTGATGGGCATTAAGGAGGGCACGTTCTGCATGGAGCACTGGGTGTTATACGCAAACAATGAAGCGTGGAACACTACGTCAAAAACTAATGATGTATTGTATGGTGATTAACATAATATAATAAAATTAAATTAAATTAAAAAAAAAATGCCAGTGGGGGCTAAGGCTTTCATGCCCCGTGAGGGTGTTCAGTCAGACATGTATAAGAGCTACCAGCCTGCTGCAGCACGAGCTCCGAAACCCAGATCTGCTCACAAAGCTTGTTAATAAAAGTAGAGGGCACAAATCTAACCCAGCCCAGAAGGATTTCAATAAATTTCAAGCAAGGGAATCTGATGGGGAATTATACCGAGGAAACCTGACATTTCCCATACAACACATGCATCCGCTTGCCTTTTGTATTTACAGTTTGTATATCCAGACAATCTTTTTATGCAAATAATAAATCCGCATGGAAGTCAGGTAGAATCTTCTCTTACGTTACTATTATGTATTTGATTCAGTGAACAATTTCCCTGGATTTAAAAGAATCTAAGAAAGGAAAAGGGCTTCCCCTGGGATTCCACAACAAAACTCAAGGGGTGCCCTGGGGCAGCACCAGCTTGCCTCCATGCAGAGAATCAAGGACCAGGACAAAGAATTAAGGTCATCCCTTCCTCTGGCCCCACTGTCCCCCATCTCCTCCCCTCCAGGGGGTGCTGGCCCAGCCCTCACAGAGGTCTCCACTGAACAGGACTCCAGCCCAGGCAAAGGGGGCCAACAGTTCCAGTATAAAGCCCTTTCCACCCAATCACTTGTCCTCATCCTCAGCACCTCCCCACCCCCACCTCCACCAGCAGCACCGCTAACACCCAGAACTAGTTTCTCCCTCCTTCGGATACTTGAGCAGCTCTCTCCTGTCCCTCTGAATCTTCTTTTCTCCCTGCTAATCCCTCTCTTCCTAAACCTGTCTTCACTCTCTCTTCAGAGACACTCTCTGTGACTACACTTCAGGAACCCAGAACTGAGCCATGAGCACAGGCGGGTCGGAGCCAGGGTGTGTGCAAAGCAGGTCGGGTGTCTCGCACTCACCACCCTTCTGCTCCAGGCAAGTCTATTTCACTACCAGATCCCAGAGCTTCCCCACTGGCTACAACCCTTGCCTGGAGCCGCTGATGCTGAGGCTAACAGTAACAACTAGTATGTATGGAGGGCTTACTTACTATTACGAGACACTCTACTATGCATTTTAATCCTCACCAAAAAGAAAAAAAAAAAGTAGGACTATTACTCTGTTACAGGGGAGGAGCCCAATTCCAGCCCATCTGCCTGCCTGGGGTCCCAGCTGAGCTGTGGCACCTGACTGGAGTGAGACCTGGCAAGGACAGGGAAGGGCATATGCCTCGGCCAGCCCTCAGGGGCTCTAATTTGTTAATGGCCAGCCTTGTTCCAGAAACGATGTAACTCACTGAATTAACCATTGTTCCTTCATGCAAGCTTTCCTGGTTTGGGCACTCATTTGTTTAAAAACTACAACATACACACCCAAATAGCAAAGCCAAGGAAAACTGCTGCCATGCTTGAAATGACACTCAACTATCTCTGGAATGGCAATAAATGTGAGAATCTGGGGAGCAACGAGAAGCGTGAAAGGCAGGCCATCTCACTCAGGGCCTTCAAACTTGCTGGCTTTGGGAGCCTTTCCAAACGATGTGTCTGCCAGAGGATGTGTCATGAGAACTGAGCTAATTATCCATATAATTCACACACTGGGGCGGGGGATCAGCAGGAGGAAGTAGACCTCAGGCAGACCAGCAGCTAAGGAGACTTGTTTGCGCCACCCTGGGCTTCAGCAGATGCCCCCCAAAGGTGCCACCAGGTCTGTTTCGAAGATTGTGGAAAGGAAGGCCTCTGGGTGAAGTGTGACCATTTTTTCCGAGCTGCAGGTGGTCACAGCGAGTGGCGGGAGGGAAGGACTGCTCAGAGCCCTACAGACTTCCCGGGCCCCTTCTCTCCAGCTTTCTCCCGCCCCTCCCCCTTCTGGGCTCAACTTCAGCCTCTCTCACGCGCTTCCTTCCCTCTTCCAGCCGCCTCTCCTCCTGGCCTCCAAAGAGCAGCCGGTGGGATGGGCGTCAGCCTGGAGTAGGAAATGGGAAGCCACAGCGGTTCTCTGAGAACTCGAGTCCCCAGGAGCCTGCGCAGTCACAGGGCCAGGGAGGAGACGGGCCGCAGTTCATCACACCCCAATGCAGTCCCACCCTAGGGGTGGGGACCTGGGCTCTCTCCCCTGCCGTCGGCAGCAGGGAGGCCCCTCCGGACGAGTGACAGAAGGCTGCGTGGCACCTCGGACTCGGGCTCCTCTGTCGCGGGAGACCAGAGGCGCAGCCCCTTCCAGCGGAGCACTCCGAGGGGGGAGGCTGCCAGACAAGACGCGACCCCAATCGGACACTCTTCTTAACTCTTCTCAAACATTTCACCAACCCTCTCCTATCGCTCTCGGGGCGGGGCAGGGGTCACAGCCGGCCCTCCCGACGGTGAGGAGGGAGGGAGGGAGGCCGCCACTCCGGGGCAGGGGCTGGGTTGAGAGACCTGGGGGTCACCCCGACACTGGTCGCTGTACTGGTACAGGTCAGTGACTCGTCCTTGGGGACAGTCGGGGCGCCCGTCTTGCCCATCTCCGCCTGGAGGGCCTCAGGGCTCCAAGAGCTGACTCCTCGTCCTCCGACCACTGCCGCCCTGGGCGCCCTTCATTTGGGGGCGCAGATCTAAGCGTCCCCCGTCCCGTGCCAGGGACGGAGGGGAAAGCCGCAATCTCGGCTTCAGTAACTGCCCCTCCAGCCTGCATTGCACTGTAAAACGACCTCGCAACCACATCTCCCCGTAAGACTCCATCCGAGGCGCCCCCCCGTCTTCCCCCCGCCCGGTGCCCGCGGCCCCCGAACCTTGCCGCAGCGGCACGCGCGCTAGCTCCGGCCGGTCCTCGGGGAAGGCGTCGCGGAGGCGCTGCCACAGGCGGCCGAGGTCCGCGAAGCTGCGGTGCAGGTAGAGCACGCTGCGGTCCGACCACTCCGTGCGGATCTCGAAGAACTCCTCCTCGTCGCCGCGCCGGCTGACGATGAGCCTGCGGATGCCGTTCACCCAGCAGCCGCGCACGAACATGTTCACAAGCGAGGTGCCCTCAAACACCGCCGAGGCCATGCCGCGGGCCGCGCATGCCCCCGCCTCCGGGGGCGCCTTCGGCCCCCGCCCGCTCTCCGGCCCGCTCGTCGGGCCGGGGGTCTGCCTGAGGTCTGCCGGGAGCCGGGATCGGGCCGGGATCTGTCCCGGGCCGGGTGCGTCCGACGCCTCCGGGGCCGGGATCGGGCCGCCGCCGTGTGCCTGCGGTCTGCCCCGGACCGGGGTCTCTCCGGGGTCAGGGTCCGTCCGAGGTCTGTCGGGAGCCGGGAGCCGGGAGCCGGCCGGGGTCTGCCTGCGGTCTGCCCGGGGCCGGGAGCCGCGGCCCGTCCGAGGTCTGCCCGGAGCCGGGGTCCGTCTGGCGGCGTCAAGGACCGGAGTCCGTCGTGACCCGGGTCTGTCCGGGGTCCGCCCCCGGCCTCCGCGCGCACTCGCGGGGAAGCGCGGCGACAAGTCGGTCGGGCCGGGCCGAGCTGTGTCTTTATAAGGCACTTCCCATCGCGGGCGGCGCGGTCGTCGACGTCGAGGCCGCCACCGCCGCCGCCTTCCTCCCTCCTCCGGGTGAGCGGACGCGCCGCGGGCTGCGAGCGGAGGGGGTGGCCCGGCCCGCCGCGCCCCGCGCCGCCCACCGCAGCCCGCGCTGCTGGGGCCGCCGGCACCCCCGGCCGCCGGGAGCCGGCCCGAAACCCGAGCGCCGGCCCCGCCTCCGCGCGCCCCGCCTCCGCGCCCCCGCCCGGCCCCAGACCGCCCCCGCCGCTTCCTTCCCCTCCCGGCCGCAGAGCCGCCGGCCGGTGACTGGACGAGGAGCTGGGAAGGGAGGGCGGGGCGGGCCTGCGCTCCCGGGGTTCTCGGGGCAGACTTTCTTCTCTTCCGTTTCTCGCTTCTCCGCAACGCTCGGCCGGGGGGCTGCGCGCCCTGCCCCGCCGGCGACAGCGAAGGAAGCTGCACGGGGGTCGGGGCCGGGGACCGGGGCTGGGCGGAGCGCGAGGGAGGCTGCGGTGCGGGGGGGTCCGGACGCGCCGGGCGTCGGGACCGTTGCTCTCGCCCTAATCTCTGCACCGTCGCCCACCCACCCCGGCTTGGGCCGGGGGCATGGGCTGGGCACCGAGGTCCGCTCGTCCCGCGTTCGCCCCGCGCTCAGCGTCCCCTCTCCGCCCGGTGTCCGCTCCCCGCCCCGCGTCCCCCCCCCGCCCCCCGCGCATTCCAGTCGTGCCACACACAGCCCGGACACCCCTGCTGCAGACAGACCGGGACGCGGCGGGACACACAGGGAACGGGCGTCCATTAGGACTTGGCCAGCCAAACAAGCGGTGGCCCTCCAATAGGAGAGGGGATTCCCCCTGCCCCCTCCCCCTGCCAGGAAGGGGGACAAACCTTGGTGGGAAAGAGCCCCCCCGGAGTGAGCTGGGGCCCTTTGTGAGTCTGGGATTTCGGAAGTCGAACTGGGGAAACTGCCCACCTTGGAAACTGGGATTTATAGCAGCCGTGATTCACAGCCTATTTTTTAGGCTGTTCCTAATTGGAAGATAATTTCAAGCGATAATTTAAGAATTGGAAGTTCCAGAAGTGTCTCCTGTGACCTCACATCGCCCTAGGCAGGGGTGGGAGAGCCAGGGCTAGGCTCCCTTCAGCGCCTTGCAGAGTTCTAGAAAGCACAGAGAGCCCACCTAGGGCACAGAAACGTTAGAGGTTGAGGGCAGGTTGCTGGTCACTTGACTCAATCCAGCCCGAGATATGACCCCCTTCCCACCTCCCCCCATTCCACCCCCCCACTCCGCTTCCCATCACCGCCGCCAGGTTTTATTCAGACTGCTCCAGCGACTTGAGGTATTCTATCTTCACGGTTCACCATCTAGGTTTATCTTTATCTCCCTGTGCTAGTCTTGGTCCCCGTTTGCTGTGTAAACTGGGAGAAGAAGGACTTTTCGGCAATTTGGCATGCCCTGCCCCCACCGTGGTGGCAGTCAGTAAGTGTGGTGCGACTGATAGGCTGACCGTGGGAGTCTGCCCTGTGCACCCAGGGGCCTGAGGGCAGAGGCTCAAGGAGCCACGCAGGGCTGCGTTCCACCTTCCTCAACAAAGCCCCACTGAGGCCTCCCTCACAGCCACCCTCCCAGGACACACACCCTTTAGCTCTCCGGGCCACTGGGCTGAACAGCCATCACTAGGACTTTAAAGGCCAGAATTAAGGTGCTTTTACACATTCTGTAAAGTCTTTCCTAGGAATAATCTGTCTGGGGTCCCCCGTTGCCAAGGAGACCTAACTTTGTGAAACTGCCCCTCAGTCTGTGCCAGGCATTCCTGGTCACCAAAGAGAAGAAAGTATTTTGCTATCAGTGGTGTTTGTTTGAAGAGACCCAGAAGGAGAGAAAACCAGATGCCCAAGTAGAAATAACAACTGCCCCAAAGCCACGAATAATTACAGAAATTCAGGTTAAAACACAATGAACTATTTTTCATCCATTGCATTGATACAGATTTCTAAAAATCTATTAAGAAAAATTATCCCAAATCTGAAAAGAAGGCCAAGAGGCTGGTCACCCCCTCTCAATGTATGTCCTTTCAAAGTTACCGGGCATTGTTTTAAAGCCCAAGGATTACTTAATTTTCTAGGAGAATGTACCATTGTTTGATGTTGCTATTTACTATTAATGAAAGGGTAAGACTCTGTAGGGTTATATATTAACGTGTAGATTTGTGCTTCATGGAGATGCAAATAATTTTTGCCCCAGAGATAACTTCACAGTTTATCATTTATTGCCCTGTAGGACATTAACCATTTTTATATCTAGTCTAGCAATCTTATTTTAATATATTTTAAGGATGATATAAACCTTTTTCACCAAATGGTCGTTGAGTCAGCTTTGTCATCTTACAAATTTTCACATTAATTAATGAGGGGAATAAAATTTCTGACACATGTTCATGCCATATTTGTAGAAACATTTGACAGTCACATTTAACTTTTGAAAATTATACTTGGGCAAGTCTGACAACAACAAGAATTTTTGCAGGATTATGGACAGATTTTTGGATGCATCAGTTGGAGCAGGCTCTTTGGAAAGCAGTTTAGCAGTGGTTGTTAAAACTGAAAATGTGAATGACTTGTCACCCAACAACTGCTAGGATTCAATCCTAGAGAAGCATTTCCACATAAGCACTGACAGAAAGGTACCAAGACACTCATCATTGCAGTGTTTGTCACAGTAAGACATTGGAAAGAACTTCAATGTTCATCAAAAGTGGGGTGAAGAGCTGGATAGGGATCAAACCATTCTGAACACCTACAAACTCAACAGGAGATCCAAGAAAAGAAGAGCAACAACTGTCTCAGCAGAAAAGCGACCACTTTCTGGAAGGTAGGACGTGAGGAGAAGTGAATCCGAGGCGATATTCGGGAGGATAGACGGCGGGGGAGGGGCCTCCGTCGGCCGCTTCTGGCAAGTGATAGAAGCACGGAGCACAAAATCGGAACTTTTAAAAGTCTGCTCCGCCGAGGGACGTCACTCTGGTGGCTCAGCGGGGGGTGGAACCCTCCGGGACAGTGTGGTCTCAGGACCCTCGGGGTCACAGAAAGACCGGGGGTGCCTGAGGGCAGCAGGGCTCCCAGGTATCGGAGCGGGGAAGCCGGCTGCAGAGGCGGAGCCCAGGCGCGGGCTCTCAGCTGGGGTTGCCATTAACCGCGATCCGCGGCACAGTCGGGCCCCTGCTCCTCCAGCAGGGACCCAACAAGCGGCCGATCCGGGGAGACTCACCTTCCTCCCCCGGGAGGAGCCGCGCGGGAGTGCACCGCAGGGATCTGCTGGGTTTGGAGACTCCAGACCGGGTCCGGTGCCAGAGATAGAAACGCGTGGTCACAGGCCGGTTGAGCACGGAGTGCAGCTGCAGACCGGGGAGACGGGAGTGACTGACGGCTTTTCTCTGGGGGCTCACTGAGGAGCGGGCCCGAGTTCTCGGCTCCTCCGGGGCGGAGATTGGGAGGCCGCCATTTTCACTCTCCGCCTCCAAAGCTGTACGGAAAGCTCGCAGGGAACAAAAGCCCCGGAGAGCAAACCCGAGCAGATTACTTAGCCGGGAGGGGGCAAGGGCGGGGCTATTCCGCCTCCGGCAGAGACATTTGGAAACCACGGCAACAGGCCCCTCCCCAAAAGATCAGCGAGAACAGCCAGCCAAGACCAAGTTTACCGATCAATGAGAACGGCAGAACTCCAGCGCTAGGGGAATGCTGCACATAGAATTCACGGCTTTTTTACCATGATTCCTTAGTCTTTTAAAGTTAATTTTTTTTTTAACTGTCTTTTTGTCTTTTTATTTCTTTTTGAATTTTTCTTTTTCCCTTTTTCAAACAACATCTTATCAATCCCTTTTTTAAAAAAAAACATTTTTATTTTTCATTTTTAGAGTCATATTCTATCCCTTCATAGTAGTTACCCATATTTTTGGCTTATATATATAAGTTGTTCTCTCTTTAAAATTTTGAGATAGTTTCTTCTAACAGATTAAAATATACCCTAAATCTCTAGTATATGGTGTTCTCTATTCCCCTGCCTGATCACATCCTCTCCCTTTTTTTTTCTTTTTCTTTTTTCTTTTTTTAAATCCTCTTTCTTTTTTCAAACAACTTCTTATCAATTCCTTTTATAAAATTTTTTATAATTTCCATTTTTACAGTCATTTTCCATCCCTTCATCATATCAACCCTTATTTTTGTACATATATAAGTTTTTCTTTCTTTAAAATTTTGGGAGACACTTTCTTCTAAAAGACCAAAACACACCCCAAATCTAGTGTGTGGCACTGATCTATATACCATATAGATCATATTTGATCACATTCTGGTTTTTCTTTTGTTGTTGTTCTTTTGTTTTGTTTGTTGTTGTTTTTATCTTTATCTTTTTCTTTTTTTTTTCTTTTTTTTTTTTTCTCTCTTTCCCCTTCTTATCCCACTGCTTCAGGTCTTTTCTGATTTGTTTAGAGTATATTTGCTGGGGACGTGGTTACTCTGCTAGCATTTTGTTCTCTCATTAATCTATTCTCCTCTGCACAAAATGACGAGACGGAAAAAATCACCTCAACAAAAAGAACAAGAGGCAGTACCGACTGCCAGGGACCTACTCAATACGGACATTAGTACGATGTCAGATCTAGAGTTCAGAATCATCACTTTAAAGATACTAGCTGGGCTTGAAAAAAATATGGAAGTTATTAGAGAAACTCTTTCTGGAGAAGTAAAAGAGCTAAAATCCAACCAAGTAGAAATCAAAAAGGCTATTAATGAGGTGCAATCAAAAATGGGGGCACTAACTGCTAGAATAAATGAGGCAGAAGAGAGAATCAGTAATATAGAAGATGAAATGCTGGAAAATAAAGAAGCTGAGAAAAAGAGAGATAAACAACTACTGGATCATGAGGGCAGAATTCGAGAGATAAGTGATACCATAAGACGAAACAACATTAGAATAATTGGGATCCCAGAAGAAGAAGAAAGAGAGAGGGGGGCAGAAGGTATAATGGAGCAAATTATAGCAGAGAACTTCCCTAATTTGGGGAAAGAAACAGGCATGAAAATCCAGGAAGCACAGAGAACCCCTCTCAAAATCAATAAAAATAGGTCAACTCCCCGACATCTAATAGTAAAACTTACAAGTCTCACAGACAAAGAGAAAATCCTGAAAGCAGCTCGGGAGAAGAGATATGTAACCTACAATGGTAGAAACATTAGATTGGCAACAGACCTATCCACAGAGACCTGGCAGGCCAGAAAGGACTGGCAGGATATATTCAGAGCACTAAATGAGAAAAATATGCAGCCAAGAATACTCTATCCAGCTAGGCTGTCATTGAAAATTGAAGGAGAGATAAAAAGTTTCCAGGACAAAAAAAAACTAAAGGAATTTGCAAACACAAAACCAGCCCTACAGGAAATCTTGAAAGGGGTCCTCTAAGCAAAGAGAGACCCTAAAAGCAACATAGACCAGAAAGGAACACAGACAATATATGGTAACAGTCACCTTACAGGCAATATAATGGCACTAAATTCCTATCTTTCAATAGTTACCTTGAATGTAAATGGGCTAAATGCCCCAATCAAAAGACACAGGCTAACAGACTGGATTAAAAAACAAGATCCATCGATATGCTGTCTGCAAGAGACTCATTTTAGACCCAAAGACACCCCCAGATTGAAAGTGAGGGGGTGGAAAACCATTTACCATGCTAATGGACACCAAAAGAAAGCTGGGGTGGCAATCCTTATATCAGACAAATTAGATTTTAAACCAAAGACTGTAATAAGAGATGAGGAAGGACACTATATCATACTTAAAGGATCTATCCAACAAGAAGATCTAACAATTGTAAATATCTATGCCCCTAACATGGGAGCAGCCAATTATATAAGGCAATTAATAACAAAAGCAAAGAAACACATCAACAACAATACAATAATAGTGGGGGACTTTAACATCCCCCTCACTGAAATGGACAGATCATCTAAGCAAAAGATCAACAAGGAAATAAAGACTTTAAATGACACACTGGACCAAATGGACTTCACAGACATATTCAGAACATTCCACCCCAAAGCAACGGAATACACATTCTTCTCTACTGCCCATGGAACATTCTCCAGAATCGACCACATCCTAGGTCATAAATCAGGTCTCAACCGGTACCAAAAGATTGGGATCATTCCCTGCCTATTTTCAGACCACAATGCTTTGAAACTAGAACTCAATCCCAAGAGGAAAGTCGGAAAGAACTCAAATACATGGAGGCTAAAGAGCATCCTACTGAAGAATGAATGGGTCAACCAGGAAATTAAAGAAGAATTAAAAAAATACATGGAAACTAATGAAAATGAAAACACAACTGTTCAAAATCTTTGGGATGCAGCAAAGGCAGTCCTAAGAGGAAAGTATATAGCAATACAAGCCTTTCTCAAGAAACAAGAAAGGTCTCAAGTACACAACCTAACCCTACACCTAAAGGAGCTGGAGAAAGAACAGCAAATAAAGCCTAAACCCAGCAGGAGAAGAGAAATCATAAAGATCAGAGCAGAAATCAATGAAATAGAAACTAAAAGAACAGTAGAACAGATCAACGAAACTAGGAGCTGGTTCTTTGAAAGAATTAACAAGATTGATAAACCCCTGGCCAGACTTATCAAAAAGAGAAGAGAAATGACCCAAATCAACAAAATCATGAATGAAAGAGGAGAGATCACAACCAACACCAAAGAAATACAAACAATTATAAGAACATATTATGAGCAACTCTATGCCAGCAAATTAGATAACCTGGAAGAGATGGATGCATTCCTAGAGATGTATCAACTACCAAAACTGAACCAGGATGAAATAGAAAACCTGAACAGACCTATAACCACTAAGGAAATTGAAGCAGTCATCAAAAATCTCCCAAAAAACAAAAGCCCAGGGCCAGATGGCTTCCCAGGGGAATTCTACCAAACATTTCAAGAAGAATTAATACCTATTCTTCTGAAACTGTTCCAAAAAATTGAAACGGAAGGAAAACTTCCAAACTCATTTTATGAGGCCAGCATTACCTTGATCCCCAAACCAGACAAAGACCCCATCAAAAAGGAGAATTACAGACCAATATCCCTGATGAACATGGATGCAAAAATTCTCACCAAAATACTAGCCAATAGAATCCAACAGTACATTAAAAGGATTATTCACCATGACCAAGTGGGATTTATCCCTGGGCTGCAAGGTTGGTTTAACATCCGCAAATCAATCAATGTGATACAGTACATTAACAAAGGAAAGAACAAGAATCATATGATCCTCTCGATAGATGCCGAAAAAGCTTTTGACAAAGTACAGCATCCTTTCTTGATCAAAACTCTTCAGAGTATAGGGATAGAGGGTACATACCTCAATATCATAAAAGCCATCTATGAAAAACCTACAGCAAATATTATTCTCAATGGGGAAAAACTGAGAGCTTTCCCCCTAAGGTCAGGAACGCGGCAGGGATGTCCACTATCACCACTGCTATTCAACATAGTATTGGAAGTCCTAGCCACAGCAATCAGACAACAAAAAGAAATCAAAGGCATCCAAATTGGCAAAGAAGAAGTCAAACTCTCACTCTTTGCAGATGATATGATACTTTATGTGGAAAACCCAAAAGACTCCACCCCAAAACTGCTAGAACTCATACAGGAATTCAGTAAAGTGGCAGGATATAAAATCAATGCACAGAAGTCAGTGGCATTCCTATACACCAACAACAAGACAGAAGAAAGAGAAATTAAGGAGTCGATCCCATTTACAATTGCACCCAAAACCATAAGATACCTAGGAATAAATCTAACCAAAGAGACAAAGGATCTGTACTCAGAAAACTATAAAATACTCATGAAAGAAATTGAGGAAGACACAAAGAAATGGAAAAACGTTCCATGCTCATGGATTGGAAGAACAAATATTGTGAAGATGTCAATGCTACCTAGAGCAATCTACACATTCAATGCAATCCCCATCAAAATACCACCCACTTTTTTCAAAGAAATGGAACAAATAATCCTAAAATTTGTATGGAACCAGAAAAGACCCCGCATAGCCAGAGGAATATTGAAAAAGAAAAGCAAAGCTGGTGGCATCACAATTCCGGACTTCAAGCTCTATTACAAAGCTGTCATCATCAAGACAGCATGGTACTGGCACAAAAACAGACACATCGATCAATGGAACAGAATAGAGAGCCCAGAAATGGACCCTCAACTCTATGGTCAACTAATCTTCGACAAAGCAGGAAAGAATGTCCAATGGAACAAAGACAGTCTCTTCAACAAATGGTGTTGGGAAAATTGGATAGACACATGCAGAAGAATGAAACTGGACCACTTCCTTACACCACACACAAAAATAGACTCCAAATGGTTGAAAGACCTCAATGTGAGACAGGAGTCCATCAAAATCCTAAAGGAGAACACAGGCAACAACCTCTTTGACCTCAGCCGAAGCAACTTCTTCCTAGAAACATCGCCAAAGGCAAGGGAAGCAAGGGCAAAAATGAACTATTGGGACTTCATCAAGATAAGAAGCTTTTGCAAAGCAAAGGAAACAGTTAACAAAACCAAAAGACAACCGACAGAATGGGAGAAGATATTTGCAAATGACATATCAGATAAAGGGCTAGTATCCAAAATCTATAAAGAACTCATCAAACTCAACACCCAAAGAACAAAGAATCCAATTAAGAAATGGGCAGAAGACATGAACAGACATTTTTCCAAAGAAGACATCCAAATGGCCAACAGACACATGAAAAAGTGCTCAATATCGCTCGGCATCAGGGAAATCCAAATCAAAACCTCAATGAGATATCACCTCACACCAGTCAGAATGGCTAAAATTAACAGGTCAGGAAACGACAGATGTTGGCGGGGATGCGGAGAAAGGGGAACCCTCCTCCACTGTTGGTGGGAATGCAAGCTGGTGCAGCCACTCTGGAAAACTGTATGGAGGTTCCTCAAAAAGTTGAAAATAGAGCTACCATATGATCCAGCAATTGCACTACTGGGTATTTACCCCAAAGATACAAAAGTAGGGATCCGAAGGGCTACGTGCACCCCGATGTTTATAGCAGCAATGTCCACAATAGCCAAACTGTGGAAAGAGCCAAGATGTCCATCGACAGATGAATGGATAAAGAAGATGTGGTATATATATTCAATGGAATATTATGCAGCCATCAAAAGGAATGAGATCTTGCCATTTGCAACGACGTGGATGGAACTGGAGGGTATTATGTTGAGTGAAATAAGTCAAACAGAGAAAGACATGTATCATATGATCTCACTGATATGAGGAATTCTTAATCGCAGGAAACAAACTGAGTGTTGTTGGAGTGGGGGGTGGGGTGGGAGGGATGGGGGGACTGGGTGATAGACACTGGGGAGTGTATGTGCTCTGGTAAGCGCTGTGAATTGTGCAAGACTGTTGAATCTCAGATCTGTACCTCTGAAACAAATAATGCAATATATGTTAAGAAAAAAAAAAAGAAGAAGAAGAAGAAGGTAGCGGGAGGGGAAGAATGAAGCGGGGGAAATCGGAGGGGTAGACGAACCATGAGAGACGATGGACTCTGAAAAACAAACAGGGTTCTAGAGGGGAGGGGGGTGGGAGGATGGGTTAGCCTGGTGGTGGGTATGTAGGAGGGCACATTCTGCATGGAGCACTGGGTGTTATGCACAAACAATGAATCATGGAACACTTCATCTAAAACTAATGTTGTAATGTAAGGGGATTAACATAAGAATAAAAAAATTAAAAAAAAAAAAAAAAAAAAAAAAAAAAAAAAAAAAAAAAAAAAAAAAGTGGGGTGAATAAATTAGTGACACAACAGAATACTATATAGCTGTGAAAAATGGATCAGTTATAAAAGTATGGATAGATCTCAGAAACAAGATGACTAATGGGTATAGCATAGGAATAAAGATATATATGTAACAAAACAGTACTAAATTTGGAAAGATATCTGCCAAATTCATAAAGGTAACCTTTGGGGTGATGAATGAGTCCAGATGCGAGGGTGTCAAGAACATTTATCTATAATGTTCTTATATACATTTCTGAATTACATGAATGTGCACACTGTGTAATTTTTAAAAAGGACATGGGTGCTGTGGGAGGCTGGAAGTCCATAGCCAGAGTGCTCCCGAGTGCTCACTTCTGGGTGGTGGGAATAATCGCTAATAAGATTTCCTTCTTTAAAAAAAAAAAAAGATTTTTTTTTTTATTTATTTATTTGAGAGTGAGAGAGAGCACGAGTGAGGTGGGGGGCGGGGGGCAAAGGGAGAGGGGGAAGCAGATTCCCCACTGAGCAGGGAGCCCAACCCAGGACTCTATGCCAGGACCCTGAGATCATGACCTGAGCCAAACGTAGATGCTTAACCGACTGAGCCACCCAGGCGCCCCGAGATTTCCTTCTTAGTATTTCTCTGTTACTTAAATATTATCTAATGATGATGATGAAAAAAATCTCGGAAACAAGTACCAAAACTTCTGACTCCTGGTCCTGCCCAGCCCCTGACGGACTCCAGCTGTTGAATCTCAAACTGCTCACTTGAACTTTCTTGTCCTGGACTTTCTTTTCTGTGAATTAGGAATTGTAAACAAGAACTTTGGAAAGCCCATGTCTGCCACAAGGACAAATAACGTGGTAGATGGCAGAAAGTGTGTCGTGGACACCTTTGCGGGCCTGTGGGTTATAAACGTGAGGACCAGACACAGAGGAGGAGGAGTGGTTTCAGGCTGTAAATGAAGCTGAGTAGCCCGCTCAGGGCCTGTGCTGACGTGATAGAATGTGAAACGGAGAACGAAGAGGAGCTCTTGGGTTCACCTGCGCATCTTCCCAGCCTGGTGCAGAGTTACACGGGTACAAGAGAGGGAGAGCCGTGGTGTAGGTGAGAGCCTGGGAAACCTGATACGTCCATCTGATTGATAAGAGTCAATAAAATTCAAGGCCTTTACTTTTGAAGTGATGTTTGTTTCTCTGTTTCTCTTTTTTTTTTTTCTTAAGATTTTATTTATTTGAGAGAGAGAGAGAGAGAGAGCGCACACAAGCAGGAGGGAGGGGCAGAAGGAGAGGGAGAAGCTCCTCCCAGCTGAGTAGGGAGCCTGACTCCGGACTCAATCCCGGAACCCTGGGATCATGACCTGAGCCGAAGGCAGACGCTTAACCGACTGAGTCACCCAGGTACCTCTCTGTTTCTCTTCTGCATTTGCTTTGTTTTGGCTTGTTGTTGTTGTTGTTGTTTTGTTTTGCTTTGTTTTAAGTTCTATCCTTTCTAGACCTCACCGTTAACAGAAAAACTGTGCAGAGGTTGGTAGCCACTTCTCTGGGTGGCCCTCTGTGTCACACTCCTTCTGCATCTAACAACACCATAGGAAGCTGGGGGCTTATGCCAGAAAGTGAGATGGGGATGGGGGAGGCAGTCCTGGCCCCAGGGCAGCCCTAACCCCACAGGTTCCACCATGTCTAACCCCCCCTCCTAACACTCTACATCCACCAGTATGCAAAATCACAGCTAAAGAGTCTTTTTTCGTCACTGCTGCTTGGGATGCCTTTGATAAACTGTTCACATCAGCACCAGGATTTACTTTTCAGTTTCACCTCCCCAGTTCCAGACACGGTAAGGAAATTCGGGGAGCATCCTGCAGACCATAGCTCTTCTCTGTTTTTCTTCTAAAGAAGAGCAGTGGGAGGGCCTACAGCTCTGAACATTTGCAGTACATTAACTGATCTGATCTTCCCAACAGCCCCCAGCGATAGGGGGTGGGGAGGATAATGGTCCCTTGGCCGATGAGGAAACTGCAGGCTCCAAGAGGATCTAAAGTGGTGCCAACCCATAGCTAGCCCTAAACTGAGGGTCTCCCTTGCTCATCCCACCAGCCTCTGTCTGGCCTTGGTCCATCCACATTGGCCTGCCTTCACCATCTCCAAGTGCCAGGTGCCTCTATCCAGTGCCCCCTCACGGGCCCGACAGGACTTCCCCATGCCCTCCACCACCTGCCTTGGCCTGCTGATTCCCACTCACTCTTTCAACCAGTGCTTGTTGAGAAGCAGATCTTGATTCATTAGGTCTGGATGGGCCTGAGAGTCTGCATCTCTGACAACTGCCCAGGAGATGCCAGTGTTCATCGTCCGCAGGCCCCTCTGGGTAGCAAGCCTAATTCTAGCATAAACCAGACAAAGTGAGTCTGGGAAATGTCAGGAGACACCGTTGTACAATTTCATAATGCCTGCCTTGATTCCTAATCGTAACTAAATGTTAGTCCTGTTTTCCTGGAGAGAATGTAATCTCCCTGGGGACAGGGACGAAGTATAACTGTCTCGTTCATATTTCCCTACCCAATGCCCAGCACAGGGCCTGGCACCTGAGGAATGCTCACTCAATACCTGTGGAATGACTGAATGAGCCAGAGAGCCAACACCGTTCTTCCCACCAAAATGCCATCCCTTGATTTCTGACAATTAGACATTTGGGAAGTGTCATCATGTATCATCAAACCCCGGGCATTGAACCATTTTAGAAAGGGACAGACCAAATTGTTCATGATGACAATCTCTCAGGAATGGGATTTTATTTTCTTGTGTGCACTTTTATGTTTTCCAGATTTCATGCAGCAATCAGGCATAACTTCAGTAAATCGAAGGTCATTTAAAAGTTCAAGTTCATCTAAGCAGATTCTTTCTTGTACTGTGTACGTGGTCACCTCTCCTTTGTCACTGCAGACACTCAGCTAGCTGTGTTCCTAGTGTATCCGTTTCCTGACTACGAAGGAAGGTCAGACTGCAGATGAGTACTGGGAGGCTTGCTCAGGCCTCAAATCTTTCTGAATCTGTCTTTTTATCCATGCAGTCCCTCTCACCCTTGTTACCCCCAAGGGATCTTAATCTTATTAGTAGAGTGGTGAAGGAAAAAATTCTCCCTCTCTCTTTTGAGGTCTTCCAGCTGGACTAAGAATTAAAATTACATGAGCAAATTAGCAGAAGAAAAACCCCCGACATTTTATTAAATGTGCATGGAGGCCCAATAATAAAATTCTATTTTTGGGGTGCCTGGGTGGCTCAGTTGGTTAAGCGACTGCCTTCGGCTCAGGTCGTGATCCTGGAGTCCCGGGATTGAGTCCCGCATCGGGCTCCCTGCTCGGCAGGGAGTCTGCTTCTCCCTCTGACCCTCCCCCGTCTCATGCTCTATCTCATTCTCTCTCTCAAATAAATAAAAAAAAATAAAAATAAAAAAAATAAAATTCTATTTTTAGACAAAGAGACAATAAATCTGTGAGGAATTGACAAGACAAAGAAAACTTAACTTTGGGAGCTTTAATTAGAAAGAATTTTTTTTTTAAGATTTATTTATTTGAGAGAGGGAGAGAGAGAGAGAGAGTGCTCATGAGTGGGGGGGAGGGGCAGAGGGAGAGGGAGAAGCAGACTCCCTGCTGAGCAAAAACCTGAGCTCAATCCCAGGACCCCGGGATCATGACCTGAACTGAAGTCAGATGCTTAACTGACTGAGCCACCCAGGCGCCCCACAATCAGCAAGACATTCTAAACAGAATTTGGGCTGGGCAGTAAATTAGTAAAACCTAACAAATGTTCTTTATACAGTCTTCTCAGCCCTGAATTCCCTCTCTCCGGAGGTAAGGATGTCTCTTTACCTTCTGGTATAGGGAGGGTACCTCTCCCATCGGAGATTTATTTCCTGCTTGCAGGGAGAGAGAGGAGGGTCTGAAAGTCCTCACACAGGCTGTCTGTTAAATAACTTTTACTTAAAATCGCACATTTTGGGCGCCTGGGTGGCTCAGTTGTTAAGCGTCTGCCTTCGGCTCAGGTCATGATCCCAGGGTCCTGGGATAGTGTCCCACATCGGGCTCCCTGCTTGGCAGGAAGCCTGCTTCTCCCTCTCCCACTCCCACTCCCCCTGCTTGTGTTCCTGCTCTCGCTATCTCTCTCTGTCAAATAAATAAATAAAATCTTTAAAAAAAAATCGTACATTTTGGGGTGGCCTGCCTTCAGCCCCTACACTGCTGACCTCAGCTTTGCTTTTACTGCCAAACTAAATATTGTGTCAAGCTATCCCTTTTCTGAGGATGGAATTTCTTTACTTCGAACCTAGATAACAGACTTCATTCATCGCTACTGCCAAGGTGCTTGCCTAAAGTTGCCATTTTTGAGCAGAACACTCTGAAAAATCATTGAAAACCCAAGACTGTTTAAGACTATCAGCTTTTAGGGCTCCTGGGTGGCTCAGTCGGTTAAGCGGCTGCCTTCAGCTCAGGTCGTGATCCCCAGGTCCTGGGATCGAGCCCCGCATCGGGCTCCCTGTTTAGCAGGGGAGCCTGCTTCTCCCTCTCCCTCTGCCTGCCGCTTCCCCTGCTTGTGTGCTCTTTCTCTCTCTGTCAAATAAATAAAAATCTTAAAAAAAAAAAAAAAAGACTATTAGCTTTTAGGGCACCTGAGTGTTTCGGTTAAGCATCTGCTTTTGGCTCAGGTCATGATCTCAGGGTCCTGGGACTTAGTCCTGAGTTGGGCTCTGTGCTCAGCCGGGAGCCTGCTTGTCTGCTTGTCCCTCTCCTTCTCCCTCTGCACCCCCGCCCCAGGCTCCTGCTCTCTCTTTCTCTCTCTCAAATAAATAAACAAAATCTTGGGAAAAAAAGGGGGGGGAGCTATCAGCGTTAGTCACAGCACTAAATAATCCCATTAGTAAAGCCTGATGGAGTTCACACTTTTTAGTTACTAGCATTCAGTAAATATTCTTAGATGATAACCTGTGTGAGGTGATTCAGCAAATAGCCTGTGGACAGGCAAAATATTTGTACCTCTTCCCCCGACCCGCTCTGTTTTACCCAATGGTACAAATGCATGAATATATGAGATGATTTAACATGATTTTCTGGTTTGAAGATAAATGCTGTTTTCACATTTATTAGCTCATTGAAACATCCACTCAAGCTGTTTTCTATAGGCTACCCTGAGCAGAATTAGTAAGCCAGTTTGTGGAAACTATACAGGAAACATAAGGAAAGTTTCAAGATCAAAGTGGGAATATTAATGGATGGACATTGTAGCCTGAGATACAGTGACTGCCCATAATATTTATATGAGGTCTATCTATTATATTAGGACAGATGTCAGGCCTCTTTGAATGGCTAGATTAAATAAAGGATCATGGTTACTACTAGGATTCTGTATTCTGAATAGAAATAAAATTTCCGTGCCTGAACTTTGTTCTTACCGTTTTGAGCCAACATCACTGCTCATATTAACCAGCAATGTTAGCCCCAAACAGGTAATATAATTTTAAAATCTTTACTGTTTAGGTAGATAATATAGAGATATAAATATGTATTGTTTGAGTCCATGAAAGATTTAAGATGACTTGCCAAATTATATATACAATAAAAAATGCATGAATTACAACTGAAAGCCTAAAAAAATATGGTAGAAGAGAAAAAGGAGCAAAGGAAATTTGTTACATAGATACACAGGCCACAGAACCTTATTTGGTTACCAAATGTGGATTGTAAATGGCTTCCAATCTCGGAGTTAAACTCCAGAATGCAGCCTGTCCTCCAAGACCCCTACAGGACATGCTGCATCACCCTATGCCCCCAGACCCCTACACCCCAGCCCTGCAGCTTATCCCCTGCCATTGTCCCCCTCCCTCAGTCTGCTCCCCAAGAAGCCAGGCAGACCACTGCAGTCCTTCAGTTACTGCTGCCTGGGCATGAAGGTGCCCATGTCCTCCCCGAGGGCTCCCTCTCTCTCTGGTCTCTACCCAAATCTACCCCCTTATCCGAGGGGCCCGCCCCGGCCACCCTACCAAAAAAGCATGAGGCTTCCACCCATCACTAGCCCCTTCTGGTGTTTTCTTTTTCTTCAGAGCACACCACATGATCTGTCCCCTCCCTGGCAGGTAAAACTTCTGAGAGCTATGGATGGCTAAGGTTCTGACTCTGGCCAGGGACAGAGTGCAGGCATTTTGTACATGACAGAAGGTCCATCCTACTATCTGATGCTCAGTTGGTACTTTTTTTTTTCAAAGCGCATGGATATGCTCTCAATCAACAGGACAGATTTCTTGTCTGGATCTGGTTAATCCTCATAACTGTGATGTCTCCGGAGCATTCCAGCTCTACATGGCTGTAGGGCAAGGAGGATCTGCCGCTAAAATTGCCTATAGCCCAGAAGCTGCTTTACTGTGTGAACAAAAGAACGGTCAAGACCCCGGGGTTGTCTACCCTCGGGCTGGGCCGTGGTGATTTGGGTCTGGGAGAATTTCAAAGCAGCATGTAGTAATTGCTGCATGTCTGTACATACAGACAGATAACCAACATGGATTATCAGTGATCCCACCAGGCTGACTTCATTGTCAAATAAAAGATACCTTCAAGTAATTGAGTTTGGAGTATGTTTACCACAAATGAGAATTTGGGTATTAGAACAGTCTCATAAGCCATGCTTTCTGCCAACAGCGTGAACCGAGTGTTGATAAGGTCACCTCTGGTACATCAAAACAAATCTCTATAATGAGCATAAAGAATAAGTGTTAGACCATTGGAAAAAGACTATGCACAGGATATTAAATGGTATTCCAGAATTTTTGTTTATTCTCGTAAGTGTAATAATGGTATTTTGTAATGAAAATATCCTTGTTTTTAGGCTCTGCATGCCATAGTCCTTAGTAATGATGTGACATAATGTTAAGAATTAGCTTTCAGTTGGCTCCACAATAAATACATAAATGGATGGATAGATGAAGTGAATACAGCAAAATGTTAATAATTATTGAATCCAAGTAAAGGATTGCAGTGTTTATTACACTATTTTATTCTTTCAACTTTTTTGAATATTTGAAAATTTTCACAAGAAAAAATTGGAGAGGGAGAATATATTTTCATTTCTACTCCTTTATAGTACCTAGATAATCTAAATGTGATTTCAAATCAGTAAGTCATAAATTAACAAGAAGAGAGGGGAAAAGTCCTGTTTTCTTGCCTTCAGAAACCATTTATTTCTGCTGATATTCTCAAAGTGATATTAAGGCTCAGATTGTGTATAAGCATCAGTGGACAAGGATTTTTATCAAACACATTAAAATTAGTCCCAGAGTAGTTCCTATTCACTGAGTTAAAAGTCAAGGAAAAAGCACAAACAATCCGGCATCTTGTGTGTAACTTACAGTTATGCATGAGGTGATGAAGAGAGTGGGGACAGCCATATTTCAAGGCTCCTTAGTCCTGACACACCCAGGCTTGTTGGGTGTCCTACACCACCATCACCGTAGGACACAAGAATCCTCCCCCCAAATTAAGTCCAGAATATTGCATTTTATACCCAAGTTCCCCAAGTTAGATATTCAACAGACTTTAATAGAATCATTTCACCTGCTAGCTAAAAGGGACTTTAATGATCATTTCACTGTAGTGAATGTTGATTGTACAATTATTAATGCTTCTGAGGGTAGAAATATTGCCCTGAATGCACCTGCATTAGTTGAATGACATAACAGAGAGACTCTAGATTGGTACTGGGTAAACATTTTCTTCTATGAGTGAATGAAAAGGAGATTGGGGCACTTTAGGCTCATTCAGGAAATTATGGGGAAAGAGTTGGGTCAAGTTTACTCCATTTAATATGTGCTCACATCTGTCTACCCAACATCTTGTCCATTTAGTGCCTTTTCAATCTAACACATCAGCCATGAGACATGTAGGTGAGGTGAGCAAGGGCTCCTACTCAAGAAGAAGAGATCTTCTGAAAAGATTAGATTGACTCAGTTTCCATAAATTTGATTAGAATGAGCAGGCGTTTGTAATGGGGGTGATATTTTTCTACTCAACCTCACCCACATACAGGGCCTTGAATTTGTCCCCAGAGCATGGCTGAGTAACAAGGACCCACTCTCTGTTGGGGGGAATTATATGGCTCATGCCATTCAAGGGAGGAAGTATGAAGCAATTCTGAGGCTCAGCAGATGTGTGGAGAGATGGGCATTCTGTCCATTGGCAGTGGGCCTGCAGGGGTCCATGAGGGGGCCCGATGAGGACAGGTAGAACAACTCCTTGCCACTCACTCTGCAGGTGTGACTTGGCTTCCAGGCAGTAGCCTGTTGCTGCCTGCCAGGTGGTCCTCTCCACTCCCAATTTTTTTCCCACCCGTGGCCAAGAGCACTCCTGCCGCCATGTTCCCTGCCATACACCCCAGGCGACTTAGATTCCTCCTTTCCTTCCCTTCCAGGGCATAATCTCTTATTTCCTGCCCCTCTGTGGCCTTCCTTTCGGAATCTCAAGAGCATCATTCTGGGGTGGGAAACCCTTGTTTATTTCTCTTTGCCTTCTCGACACAACAGTTCTAGCTTCTTGAGGGTTAGTCTAAGAAATGGGGGAAAATTTACATCAAGATAATGTTTGAAGACATCTTGCTGCAAATCAAGAGAGCTTTAAAGAGTCTCAGGTGACCTTCCTTTCTAAAGCAAATAATCACATGCTGATTTTCCTTTTGGCTTTTGTGCATATTCATCTTTTCATCCCCAGATTTGTTCAATACAGGTATGGCCATACTGATGAAAGCCTCTGCTTTTACCCTTCTCTCCTTCTCTCCATCTGGCCAGAATATGTACTTTCAAGTAGCAGTCCAAATTACTTAATTGTCTGACCAGTCCAGGTATTTCAGCTAATTGTCAAATTTCTCCTATACGTTATCCCATGACTGTGAAGACCTCACCAATGGGGCTTAAATTCTGCCCAGGCATAAAGGGCTCAGTGAACTGAAATCAGAAAAAAGCTCAGAGCAACACAGCACATGCCGGTGTCTTGGTTCAAGGAGTTGACTTTTATAGAAGTAAGTACATTTGTATTAGTTTTACAATGGATTGTTCTGGCACTTACCCAGACAGGAAAATAATGGAAGATTCTTTTCCCAAGGGCTCTTTAACTCAAACATTCAAAATGACCTGGCTTCAGTTCGCCCAGAGCAGAAGTCATAAGACTGAAAAAACAAGTAAATAAATTTTTAAAGAGATGGGCAGAGCACTGCTTTCCAAAAACCCTCCAATTCAGGCCAATGATTGAAAAGGAGCTAAGAATAGCTTCTGGAATGTTTGCTTCCTCCTTACTTAAATTTTTGTGAAGTTGTTATAACACTTATATTAAACTTCCAAGCAAGAAGAGCATGTATGTGTGGGAAGTATATGCTGGAGGGACTATCCACCACCAGCCCCCCAAATTACATACATTCCAAAGAACCAAGGCTAGCTCTGAAGACCAATTTTGGGCTACAGCTGTAGTTTAGAAGCTAAGCAATTGCAGACTACTCTGGTAGGTTTTGCTTTTTGTTAATAACCTATTTTCAAGTTCAGCAGACTGGCATCTCCTTTGATTCTGATTATACTCCTAAATCTCCAAGTTCAGTGTCAGCAGATAACAGTGTAATAGTAAGTGAGATTGTTTTCCTGGTTTGCTGGTGCACCAGCTGGCCCCCCGGGGGTTGCTGCGTGGGCATGCTTGGGGCAAACAACCAAGGGTTACAGGTTAACCACACATTTCACACCCATAACCACACCCTCCTGAAATGTAAGCACGGTCTAGTCTTCAGAGGCCTTTCTATAATTTTATATTCAATGGTAATAGCTCTTGGTGATTAATTTGGCTGCTTTTGGTCACTTCCAGGAAACGGGTTTTGACATGTCATCAGTGTTTTTCGAACTGAGGGAAAATGGAGTTGAGGAGAGTGTTTTCAAATTAATTCCAATGAATTTGAGTCCCATGTTGAAGCAATGTGATTATTCCTTGAATGCAGCCACACACATATTGTTCCATTATTTATTATAACTATTCGTGGCTTCCAACACCACGAATAAAAGAATGATATTAATAGCTAAGAATATTAGGTAGAAGCGGAGCATATCCGAATTATTTCACTTCCCTATTGCTCTGGCCGTTCATTTCGCTTCATGAGGTATAAGGGTGATTGTCCAGGGAAAAATGACTCTGAATCTGGTAATACCCTGTTCCAGTGAGAAGCTTCAGGAAGGCAAATAGGACTAAGTGTATTATTCAGGCCACTTTTTACACCATTTAACTGTCACATACAAATATAGAACTAAAAGCATTTTAATAAGATGGGTAAAAATATTTATGCATATTCCAAATTATCCAAAATTAGATATTCTATTGTATAGGAAGCTTGCCCTGTCTTCTTGCAAGCTCAAACACCTCCTGCCTGCAAGGTTTATTCCTTAATAGCTGGACTTCTCCTCTGAACTGATTCCAAGACGGGAGGCACTTCCCGGAACCCTTATATCAAAGAAAGGATTAATACCTAATTCTTTTAGTGGGGGTAGTGAGCAGGAGAGAGGGAAAAGAGGGAGGGTCCTCCTGATCCAGTATGTGGTGGTCTCCTGGGTTCTTCAGTGTAACAACAAAATGGTGGAAAATCCTTAAGAATAAGTTTCTATGTGGATGTGGTATGAAGGAGCACACTTCCTAAGGAAATGAAACTTCTAAGTGTCTCTCTCACTTTATTGGTGACCTTAAGAGGAGGTTTTTTTGTTTGCTTGTTTGTTTTTCAGTTTGCTGGTTATAAATCCAGGTTCAAAACCTATGACTATTTACCCAATTAACCACTTATTTTTTTTTTTTTTGCATGTATAAACTCCTTTCACTCTTCCAATTTAATTTCTTAAAATATATTCACCCAACCCTCTCCTCTCCCTGTGAAAGTCCCTCTTGGCCCACATTCCCATCCTTTTACCACTCATTCATTCCTTCATTCCACAGATTTTTTATTGCCAGGTGGAAAAGCAAGTGAGAAGAGCACCAATATGTGTGTGTGGAACTCTTCTGTATTTTTGGCTGCTTCTTTATGAAAGATCAACAATTCCTCTGGGCCCTGAGGAGTCACCAAGTGGTCAGGGTTTTCATTTATACTTTTTCAATTGACATTTGTTAGCCTAAGAGATCATGAATTACTACGCTCTTGGGGACTGAGAGAAAAGAAAGTTGATTTTCTAGAAGCTGGTCATCTGGTACCTCTGTTAAGTTCATATATCAATTTTTAATTCCACCACTGTTTAATTTTCAGGAAGAAGAAATCTGTGCCATAACGTGAGCAATACCTGCCTCCTCCCTGACTCTAATCCATGTGAGCTCTTTAGGATGGTATTTTGAATTTAGTAGGTAGGTAGCTCTGCTCTCTCTACCTTCTATAGACTGCTACCTGGAAAATAAGTATTGGGATTTTTTTTTTCTACACTCCCCCAGTCATCAGACCGTTTACTTCTGCACCAATTTTCTCACTTATTTTAAGGTACACATGATCTGTGGTAATGAGCTCACGTACAGATTGAGTTTACATTTTGAGAGGAGGCCCCTGGGTTAGACCTCTCTAGTAAATTTAAAACAGCACATTAGATTTGTCAATTTAATTGACAAATTAAATTTTTTATTTAAATAAATAAAATTTATTTTTAATAATAAATTAAATAGGGCGCCTGGGTGGCTCAGTTGGTTGAGCGACTGCCTTCGGCTCAGGTCATGATCCTGGAGTCCCGGGATCGAGTCCCGCATCGGGCTCCCTGCTCGGCGGGGAGTCTGCTTCTCCCTCTGACCCTCCTCCCTCTCATGCTGTGTCTCATTCTCTCTGTCTCAAATAAATAAATAAAATCTTTAAAAAAAAATAAATTAAATAAATAAAATTAAATTTATTATTTAAATAAACAAAAAATTTATTTCTTTATTTTATTTAAATTCAATTAGCCAACATATAGTACATCACTAGTTTCTGATGTTCTCATTTTCTCTTTATCACATTCACATACATATTTCTTGTCCTGAATTTCCTTAGCCTATGGACTAGGAGAAAAGCTCATCAACGAGAGAAGCTATGGATATGTAACTTAATGAATAGCAATGTCCCAAACTTCCCATTTCATTCTTCTGATGAAAAGAATTATCACCATGTGGCATACTTCTGCTGTAAGAACTTTTGATGAAATATGCTAATAATTTGTAGCAGTTAAGAGCGTTGTGTCTGAAAGGAAGGGAGAGATATGAACACACAATGAATTCTAACAATGGATCGAGAGTAGCCATGCCCAGCTGCAAGGGATAAAGATGAAAATAATCACTTCATTCTTTACCCTGCTTTTTTTTAAAAAAGATTTTATTTATTTATTTCAGAGAGAGAAAGCACAAGCAGTGGGAGGGAAGGGCAGAGGGAGAGGAAGAAGCAGAATCCCTGCTGAGGAGGGAGCCTGCTGCTGGTGGCGGGGCTCGATCCCAGGACCCTGAGATCATAACCCGAGCCAAAGGCAGCTGCTTAACCAATTGAGCCACCCAGGCACCTCTCAACTAATAATCATTTTTAAGAACTACCAAAGTCAGACACTGTCTAGGTTTTATTGTCAGGAACCATATGATATCCTTTGCTTGATTTCCTGTCAAGCAAAGGATAATCCTTCATCATCTTAAATAATTCTTTCTAAAAATTATTTTTAAAAAGTTGATGCAAAAAGTGTAAAACAAAGTTAATACATGCAATGGTAAGAAAATTAAGCAGTGAAAAAGGGAACACATGGAAAGTAATTCCCTCTCTCTTCCCTGACCCCCCCTCCCCATCCCCAAATTTCTCCCACCTTAAGCAACCATTATCACTTGAATTGAGCTTCCTTCCAGAATATTCTATACCTACACAGCCACCTTCTTTTTTAAAGATTTTTATTATTTACTTATTTATTTTATTTAAATTCAATTAGCCAACATATAGTACATCACTAGTTTCTGATGTAGTGTTCAATGATTCATCAGCTGTGTATGACATTCAGTTGTGTAAAAGACGTGCCCTCCTTAATGCCCATCATTCAGTTACCCTATCCCCCTACCCACTTCCCTTTCTGCAAACCTCAGTTTTTCACTTTACAGCTTCAGGTCCTGTGCCTGTCAGCAGTCAGGTGGGGCTTCATCTGCATGTGCCTTCCCAGAGCTACCCATCCATGCTCTGCAGAGCCAGCCAGGGCCCAGAGATGAAACTTCCTCTTGGTGGGGAGGGGGGGGGGCGGGGAGGGAGCAATTCTTTTTTTTTTTATTCTTATGTTAATCCCCATACATTACATCATTAGTTTTAGATGAAGTGTTCCGTGATTCATTGTTTGTGCATAACACCCAGTGCTCCATGCAGAATGTGCCCTCCTCAATACCCACCACCAGGCTAACCCATCCTCCCACCCCCCTCCCCTCTACAACCCTGTTTGTTTTTCAGAGTCCATCGTCTCTCATGGTTTGTCTACCCCTCCGATTTCCCTCGTTTCATTCTTCCCCTCCCGCTACCTTCTTCTTCTTCTTTTTTTTTCTTAACATATATTGCATTATTTGTTTCAGAGGTACAGATCTGAGATTCAACAGTCTTGCACAATTCACAGCGCTTACCAGAGCACATACCCTCCCCAGTGTCTATCACCCAGTCACCCCATCCCTCCCACCCCACCACCCACTCCAACAACCCTCAGTTTGTTTCCTGCGATTAAGAATTCCTCATATCAGTGAGATCATATGATACATGTCTTTCTCTGTTTGACTTATTTCACTCAACATAATACCCTCCAGTTCCATCCACATCGTTGCAAATGGCAAGATCTCATTCCTTTTGATGGCTGCATAATATTCCATTGTATATATATACCACTTCTTTATCCATTCATCTGTCGATGGACATCTTGGCTCTTTCCACAGTTTGGCTATTGTGGACATTGCTGCTATAAACATCGGGGTGCACGTACCCCTTCGGATCCCTACTTTTGTATCTTTGGGGTAAATACCTAGTAGTGCAATTGCTGGATCATATGGTAGCTCTATTTTCAACTTTTTGAGGAACCTCCATACAGTTTTCCAGAGTGGCTGCACCAGCTTGCATTCCCACCAACAGTGTAGGAGGGTTCCCCTTTCTGGGGAGGGAGCAATTCTGAACCTGCCACAGCTTTTCTTTGAGGAAAAGAAAGGTCTCAAGATAACTTTCTATTTTTTCATTACTTCCCAAACTAATACAGACACATTGTATTTGCATAACATATTTTTGGTCCACTCCGGGACCCCATCTCCGGCTTCCTGAATATGTATTTTAGTCTGTGGGATCTGAGAGCTGAGTCTCTAATCTCATTACCAGCCCGTATGCTTCCAGTGAGTTAGTCTGCAGGCTTTAGAATAGGACCTCCAATTTGTAAGCCTAGCTAACAATTACATTTTCATCTCTGAAAGATGTTAAATAAAAGAATGCTTTGTGGTGAGAAATATATCAAAGATCTCAGCATACGCAGCCCCCACCTCCCAGCCTAGCTACTTTGCTTGTTCAGCGGAGGTGGGCGTTGTAAAACTCCCTTTCCAGAACCTTCATCTTCACCGGGAGAACCTTGCGGAAACTACTTTCAAAACACAGCATTGTTTAACCTCCTTCACCAAGATGCTCTAACTCGATTGCCCTGAAGAATCATTTCCAGGCTTGGAGACAGCGTTCAACTATTGAATGAAATGGCATAGGGTTCCAGACTGATTATGAATAGACTGTCCACCCCTAAAAGAATAGGACAATGGACAAGTTACAGTTTCAAAAAATATAATAATAATTTTGCTGAGACAGGTCAAAGACAGTCAAAATCATTCTTCAAAGTCATTCCCCAGCCTCTCTTTGGCTTCTCTACTTAGGTTGGGGCTGCTTTGGGGCCAAATGCCTTACCTGGATAATTTCTTTTAACCCTTGCCACAATCCTAGGAGGTTGGTTTTTTTTTGTTTTTGTTTTTGTTTTTTTAATCTTCATCATCCAGGCGAGGAACATGAGGCAAGAGACTTTCCCGAGGTCCCACGGTAAGAGACAGTTCTGAGACAAGTAATTGGATCTGCTGGCTTTGCAATAACCTGCAGCTTTAATCCTCACCAAATCCTGGATCTATCCCTTCAATGTCTTCCTGCCTTCGCTCCAGCTTTCTAAGATCTTCCAGGGCAGGACCATGTGCAGATCTGGACGCCTTCTGCCAATTGTGTTCTGCCAGCTGACGCCTTTGCTTTTCTGGCTTCTTTTTGCCTCGAGAAACTGCTTTCTGACAAGATGGGTGTTTCCTACACCAGGCTCATCATCAGAATCATCTGGGGTGCGTATAAAATAGAGGGGCCCCAGCATCTCTTGAAAGCTGATTCGTGGGTCTGGAGGTGGCGACCAGAAGTCTCTTTATTCGACAAGCTCCAGGATGATTTTAATAATCAAGTTGGAGAAAAGATGCCATTTCCCCAAAGTTTTTCACTCATGCAACTCCTTCTTTTTCTTTCCTTTTTTTTTTTATTTTGGGGGGGAGAAGGAAGAGGGGTAGGAAGGGGCAGAGGGAGAAAGAGGATCTTAAACAGGAGCCAGACTCAGGGGCTCGATCCCACAACCCTGAGATCATGAGTTGAGCCGAAATCAGGAGAGGACACTTAACTGACTGAGCCACCCAGGCGCCCTGCACCTCTTTCTTATAATGTATAATCTGAAGACCTCTTTCAAAAATAAGAAAAATAATTTTATTATTTTTGCATGACTTTGACTAAAAGCTATTCTCATTTATTATCTTATTTTAGATCAATCTGATATCAAAGGTTGTCATAAAGTATTTCTAATGTAATAGTAACGCTCACAATTTATAAGGTGCATTTTATTTTTCTCACTTAATGAGTGGCTTGTGCTATTTAATATGCTTTCATTTTATATGAGAAAGTCATATGTCAACAATTTGTTGACAATTTTTTTTTTTTTTTTACAGAGAGAGAGAGAGAGAGCACGCACAAGCAGGGGTGGGGCAGAGGGGGAAGAGAGAGAGAATCTCAAGCAGATTCCATGCTCAGCGCAGAGCCCAATGTAGGGCTCCATTTCACGACCCTGAAATCATGACCTGAGCGGAAATCAAGAGTTGGACACCCAACCAACTGAGCCACCCAGGCACCCTGACAGACTTAATTTTTAAAATGACCTGTTATATTGTATTTGGTTTGGGCAAACAACAAATATTAAAATGCAGCTTGAAAGTTAGTCATGTTATGGACATCAAAAGTAGAACATAAACTTTTTTTAAAAATCATTTTCATATTTTGTTTCAAAATGATAAAAGAGAGGATGTTTTCTTTTTTTTTTTCTAGATTTTATTTATTTATTTGAGAGAGAGAAAGAGAACACGAGAGGCAGAGGGAGAAGCAGACTTCCCGCTGAGCAGGGAGCCCCATGTGGGACTCGATCCCAGGACCCTGAAATCATGACCTGAGCCGAAGGCAGACGCTTAACCGACTGAGCCACTCAGGTGCCCCAAGGGTGTTTCTTTGGTTAAGTTTTCTTTTCATAAATGGAAAAGCAATTGGGTAAAATAGTTCCTGTATTTTCTCTATGGGACAATGGTTTTGAGATACCAGAGACTGATGTCCTTCAAGAATTTTGATTCAATGAATGTGACTGGTAGAATTTTTGAGCCTTATTTAAGGAATGATTATGTCATAATGATTATGAAATATTATTTTCTTCATACACTTGTATTTAAAAGTCAGTATTTCAAATGCTTTATTTAACCAACGGCCCATTATGGGCGTGAATTTAACAATGTCAAACTAAGATGAAGAATAATGTAAAATCTGGTGGCCGTCACAAGCACCAGCATGGCTAGCTGTCCTCAGCAAAAAGAGTGACAAAACCTGAACACTGCTTCCATGCTCCACCAGGTGGGCTCACTCCCCGAAGACTTAAAAAGGCAAGTTGTTAGGTGGGAAAGGGAAAAATCTCTGAATAATTGCTTTATTTATTATTTTATTTTTTTTAAAGATCTGATTTATTTATTTAGACACAGAGAGCCTGAGCAGGGTGGAGGAGCAGAGGGAGAGAGAATCTCAAGCAGACTCTGCGCTCAGCATGGAGCCCAACGTGGGGCTCCATCTCAGGACCCTGAGCCAAAATCAAGAGCCTGTCGTTCAACCGACTGAGCCACCCAGGTGGCCCTCATGAATTATTTTTAAAATGAAAGTCGAAGCAGGTGCTGTCAGCACCTTCAACAGTAGGAACCCCACACGGTATAACACCGGTCGGGAGCTGAGAAACAAAGCTCTGTGGCCTTGGTACATTAGTGAGGGTTCTCCATCCTGATCGCCCACCCCAGACCATCAACCAGAACCTTTGGTGGGAGCTTCCAGTGTCAGGACTGAGTGCCTCAGGCGATTCAAATGTGTAGCCGGGGTTGGGAACCGTAGTTGCAAAGCGAAGGGATGAATCAGACACTATGACAAGCTTAGTAGGGGAAAAATACTTGGGGGCAAGTAGGTCTTTCTCGGATGTGATTTGCCATTATAGGATCCGAGCCATATCCACTAGACCTGCCCCTGCCTCAGTGTCTTCAAAGAGTCTACAGTGAGATGGATTGGCTTAAGGAGACCATACATCCCAAAAAAACCACTTTGCCTGAAGGATTTTGGAAACTTACCTCTTAAAGTTAACAAATTTGCAAATGCAGGCTCATGGAGGCTCACACCCACATCACTGAGCACCACCCTTGCCATGCTCCCTGCAACCCAGTATGAAAGTGCTCTCCAGATCCTCTTTCATTATAAGAGATTGCAGGGGATCCCCACTGGCTTGTGCCCTGCTGAGCACTGAGAACACACTGATGAAGAAGATGCATCCTCCCCCCTCCCCCCGCCCCCGGCCCCGTCTGTGGAAAACCCATCCACCTGGGGACAGATAAGCAAACGTGGGATTACAGCTAGTTGTAAGAGATGTGATGGGCACCAGCAGTGAGCTGGTGGATCAGCATCTGAATCCTACAGAACCTCACCACTGCCTCCACTCCAAAACTTAAAACGACTTAAAACGACAGAGACCAGCATTTGGACAATTTCTCCTTCTCCATATACACATATATATTACATGTTTTATATTTTGCATTTCTACATGTGTGCATATGTGCAGAAGTGTATATATACGTATGTAGCTTTTGTTGTTGTCTACAGAACAGGTAAACAACCGCAAAATATTCCATTGAAAATTTTTTTCCACTGCAAGTGGATGAGCTTATTCCAAATTGTCCCTAAATGTGTCATCTCTGGAGCAGGGGTCCAGTGGGAGAAAAGCTAGATAAGTAGGGGGGTTAACTGTGGGAAGCTTTGCAAGCCAGGGCGGACACTTCACTCTGGACATTATGAAGCGCTAACAGGAGTTTTTAAGTGTGTGTGTTTGTGTGTGTATTAGATGTGTGTGTTACACGTGCGTATTTGTGTTGGGTGGGGTGTTGGGTGTATGTATGTGTTGGGTAGGTATGTCGGATGAATATGTTAGAAGTGTGTGTGTTAGGTAGGGTGTGGGGTGAGTGTGTTGGGTGAGTGTTGGGTATGCGTGTTCAGGGTGTATGTGTTAGGTGAGTGTGTTGGGTGTGTCTTGAGTATGAGGGTGTTGGATGTAGGTACATTGGGTAAGTGTGTTGGGTGAGTGTTGGGTATGCGTGTTCAGGGTGTGTGTATTAGGTGAGCATGTCGGGTGTGAATGTGTTAGTTATGTGTGTTTTGAGTGAACGTGTTGAGTGTGTGTGTATTGGGTGAATGGGTTGGATGTGTGTGTTGGGTGGGTGGATATGCTGGGTGGGAGTGGTGTATGCATGTGTGTGCAAACACAGGCACATGTGTGTGAGGAGTAGACTTATCCTGGTGGACACCTAGTCTTAGCATGTGGGAGGCATTGTTGGCGGACATTCTTTAGTCGTTTATAAGCGGCATTGTCAAGGACAGTCTCTGGCTAGGGGCAGAGAGAGCTGGTAGGGGGCTGTTGGGAAAGGGGCTGGGATAGGAAACAGGGAAAAGGGATTGGTGTCAGAAGTTGACACTAACCAGATGTGGGGCCCCCGGAATGGATAACGTGGCTCTGAGCTGTGCTCCCGACCCTGACGGGGCCTCTAAAGAAGGTGGGGAGCACAGGAAGGAACTGGAGAGAAGCCTTAAGCTCATGTGTGGCTTGGCTGAGTTAGAGACACAGAACTCTCTTGCTCAGGGGACCACAAAACTCAAGATACTAGCTAGAATATTGTCGAAGAGAGAGGAATGGCAGGAGGAAATGTCTGGCCAGGGGCAGGAGGGGCATTAGGTGAGGCGACAGACCTGGGCAGAATGGCTAGCTGTTCGAGCAGCGTGTCCCCGAGCTCTTGGGCCCGCCGTCTGGCCAGCTCTGTGTCCCAGGCAAGCACACTGTCCTTTGAATGTGGATGGAGATAGTAGTCAGGACTTTGAAATGGCCAAGAAACTCTAAGGAGAAAATCGAAAGTTGCCCAAGTGTCCCCAAGAACCACCAAGGACAATACAGAGCTGCGTGTTAAACAGCGCCCCCCCGCCCCCAGGGTCCCTGTCAGAGGGCCTTCTGCGCGGTCCATACAAACCACCTGGAAGATGCATCCAGGCCACGGAGCAGTACTTGCAAGGGGCTCTTTCCTTCTAGATGTGATGCTGCCTTCTTAGTGTGAAGCAGCTGGTGGTGAAGTTTCTGGTCGAGGGCCTGTGGGGTGGCCCGTGTGAGGGGCAGGGAATGCCCGGGGCCCCTCCTCTCAACCGCATTCTGCTTCTCGCCATGTGCTGTTCCGTTCAACAGCAGGATTCAGGAGGGAGCCTTTCAAGTCAGTGCTTTTCTCCTCCAAATACATAGATCAATAGTGCCAATTGCCAGCAAAGCAGGAAGAAACAGTTTTCAGACACCCATAGGACCCGTCTCCACTACTGAAAGCTAGGTGAGAAAACGGCTTTTTTTGGTTTGTTGCTCTTTCCCACCACTAACATGTCGTTTTCATGCAGCAGCTTGAAGTTCCTTCTAAGAAAACAAAATGAGATGAAATCAGCAAGGATGTGTAGATACACGCACGGCTTAATGCTGATAGACTGTCCGCCTGCCAAAGCGTAAGCTCATCTCATCCGAAGCCGCCTGCTCGAGATGAAAATATAGCCCCTTCTTTACCCAGAAAAGCAGTATGTGTTTAAGGGAACCCAGTTCAGCCTACAGTAAGTAATTTCAGCTTTCATTCCCTCACTCATAGCTGAAATCCATGTCTTCTCAAACTATCTTCACATTAATTTGTTATTTTTATACGACATCGAGGCATGAACCTCTCAAAGTCTGGCAGGGTGTGTGTGTGTGTGTGTGTGTGTGTGCGCGCGTGGCTTATTCCTCATTCATCCAAGGGTACTTTCCCTCTCAGACTTTCCACAGCTATGGACGCCCACAGTCCTGCCCTGTTGAGCAAACTGAGGTCTGGATGAGCAATAGAAGACCTGGGAATGCGTCCTCCCGTGGGCTGTGGCATTGATCACTGGGCACACTTGTCATTCCACTCACACCAGCAATAGCTCCCAGCCCCCCAGCCCCCTTGGCTGTGTAGCAATTAGCATGAAAGGCCATATCGCGGCACCTGAAAAATTGCACTGATTCCTTGTCCTACTTAATCCTGAAACCTTTACTGTTCTCTGCTTCAAATCCTGCATGTCCGAACCAGCCTGAAGTTACTCAGGGTGTCTGTATTTGAAGGTAAACAGTGATGATCTCCTTCTTAAAATGCTAAGTATGCATCATTTCTGGGTTGCTGGGGAAAAAAAAAAAAAAAAGAAAACTTCCACTTGGATATTACCTGAAAAAATGCTGCATGTGTTCTAGGTGGACTCTCCGCAGGGTCGGCTCAAGACAGGAGAGCAGTCTGCCCTTTGGCCGGGCTGGGGAGCTCCTCCCAACACTGATTCCAGACGGTCCTTGTCAGAGCTGTCCCAGGTGGGCGCTTGGCAGAAATCTTTCCAAAGCCATGTGCGATTCATTCCCCGTGGTCTTAGAGCCAAGAAGACTTTTGTGCCCAGGAGGCTGCCTCCCACTTTTACTTCTTGCCAGGGTCGTCATACCCTCCTCGTGGCGTGCTCGAGTTCCGGAAACTCATCTGCCAGCACCCGGGGCCAAATTGCCATGAAGGGGCCCCGAGAGGCTCAGGCCAGCGTGTTCTGGACTTGTGGGTGTCCTGGCAGTCCTTATATTCTCTTCTTTTGTTTATTCTTACCTGAAGCTATCAACACAAATGGAATTTTAACCATGAAGTATATAATCACAGGCAAGGTATGGGCATCCGAGGATGAGATGGGGCCCTTCTTGAGGACAGTTTCCTGAGGCTCTCTGCTGTGTTGGGCGTTACCCATTAGATGATGGGGAGATCTAGGGGTGCTGGGGGAGGGACCAGGGAGGCCAAAGTACAGAAGGGGTCTCTGGGGGGTATGGCCTCCAGTGGATTATCAACAAGTCTGAAAGCCCTGCAGTGTTTTAACAAAATCACTATGGCCTTCTGGAACATGGTGGGACACTTCAGGCCTGACTGCACATCAGGCAGTTGCCTTTACTCCCGACCCACTTCCATTAGAAATAGAATTGGATTCCATTAGAATCCAGGGGCTTCGCACAGTGATTGGAGATGAACGAATGTGCCCTTTCCTGCCCCCCGCCCGGACAGGGCACTCCTCACTCCCACAGCAGGCACTGAGTGCCGAGCAGAAGCCACGCTCATCAGGGTGGTGGCTGACCCTGAAGGGACTGCAGGCGGTGGGAAAAGAGACTGCACAGCTCCGAGCAGCAGGAACCCAGGGCTGGGTGATGGCCACAGAAGCTTCCTGGAGGACATCCTCCCAAGAGGCCCTGGAGCGTGGGTGGGATCAGCAGGTGAGAAATGCAAGGTGGAGCGTTTCAGGGAAGCTGGATTTTCCCAGAGCGGAAAAAGTAAGGGGCACTTCGCAGAAGGCCTTAGAAATCCATAAACTTCGGGGGTGAGGTCGGTGGGTAGGGTGGGAACGACGCTGAGGACTTGGGCTGGAGACAACTCAGGAACAGGTTGTGAGCATATAAGAGACTTTGTTTTCCAATATTTCATCATGATAAAATATACATAACATAAAATTTACTATCTTAACCTTTTTTTTTTTTTTTTTTTTAAAGAGGGCAGAGGGAGGAGAAGGGGCAGAGGGAGAGGGAGAGAGAGAATCTCAGGCAGACTTCCCGCTGATCGTGGAGCCCGACTCAGGGCTCGATCTCATGACCCTGAGATCATGACCTAAGCTGAAACCAGGAGTAGGGTGGCTCAACCGACTGAGCCACCCAGGCCCCACCCCATACTATCTCAACCATTTTTAAGTGTACAGTTCAATAGCCTTACATAAACTCATTTCATGTGCAGCCCTCACCATATCCACCTCCAGAACGCTTTGCATCCTGTCAGACTGAAACTCTGACCCCGGTACATGTGGACTCCCCGTCCCCTGCCCCCAGCCCCTGGCAGCCACCCTCTACTTTCTGTCTCTATGAATCTGATGACTCCAGGGACCACAGACAAGCGGACTCATACAACGTCAAATGTTTTGTGACTGGCTTATTTCATGCAGCGTAATGTCCTCAAAGCTCATCCGTGCTATAGCCTGTGTCAGACTTTCCTTCCTTTTTAAGGCGGAGTAATATTCCGTGGTATCTAGACCACATTTCATTTCCCATTCTTCCATCAGTGAACACCTGGGCTGTTACCATGTTTTAGCCTTGTGAATGATGCTGCTGTGAACGTGGGGGTACACATGTCTACTCCGGACCCTGCTCCCCATTCTTTTGGATATACACTCAGGAGTGGAGGTGCCGGATCAGATGATAATTCTACGTTTAATTTTTTGAGCAACCATCAAACCATGTCCCCCAGTGGCTGCAGCGTCTCACGTTCCCACCAGCAGCACAAGGGTTCCAATTTCCCCACGTCCTCGCCGACATGTGTTTCCTGGTTTTGGGGTTGTGGCCATCCTAACCAGTGTGAGGTGGTGCCTCATTTCAGTTCCAATCTGCATTTCCTTCATGATTAGGGTAGAGACTTTTGAACTCCTCCCCATTCTATTAATTACAAATATATAGGAGACTTGAAAGAGTAGTGGGGGTATCTAGATCCAGTGATTATTGGTATATTGAGTGTAAGTTATAGCCTCTATGACACCTCGCCCCTGAACACTTCGGCACGCATCATTCTACAACATTTGAACCTTGGCTCATTTGTAATGGAGGAATTGTCAAATGTTCTTCACTATTGCAGACAGAGGGTAAAAATAATGCAGCGGAGAGATGTTTGCAGCTGGAAAAGCAACGAAGAGCCCACCAAAATAGGTTGGACCAGAAACGCTGGGGGCTGCCAAAGGTCGGGTGCCCCAGAAGCAGACCCTGAGACAAGGATTCATGAGCAAGAGACCCATTGAGGGGGCAATCGCGGGGAGACCAGCCAGGGGTGGGGGAAGCGGGACAGGGACAGAGGCAGGACTCCAAAGCCTGCATCTGTAGCAGGAAGCCTCACCCCCTGCCACAGTTGTGGGGTAGGCTTGGGTTTAGGGTGTGTGCAGTCTCAACTCCACATGAGCGAGCTTGGCGATCTAACTCTGGCACGGCAGGCAGGCTTGAAGGCCCTGGAGTTGGGGGGCGGGCAGGGTCCTCACGTGGCTCGCTACCAGGGCCTCAGCTAGGCAGGGGCTGTGGGGAGAAGCAGAGCAGAGGACTGCACCGTGAGATCCTGGGAGACCTGGTGCCTACTGTGGAGGGCGAGGAGTGACATTCCGGTGTCCTGCCAGGGTGATGGGAAGCCAGGGGTGCCATTCTCTGAAGGAGATCAAAGGGAGAACAAGCAGGTTGGGGGAGGGAAAATGGTGATTGCAGGTTGGCATATGTTGATTTTGAGGTATGTGAGGACATTTGGGGGAAGTATGGATGCAGGGAGCTGGAGGCCAGTCTATAACTGAGGAGGGACATAGAGCCCTAAGTCCCACACGATCAGACATAGGGGCCCATGGGATAGGATGCCTGTGGATTCTTGCTCCTCTGGGCAGGCGGGGGTTGGGCGGTTGGAGAACAGATAGCAGAGAGGCAGGGGCAGGTCACGTGCATTAGGGGGCTTTCTCCAGAGGAAGTAATTAAGTGATGCAGCAATAACATCTGGCACTTACCAAGCCCTGACAACGCGCTCTGCACAGTGCAAGCGGAGCTGTGCGCACATTATCTGATTTTCTCTCCAAGAGATGCGTGTACTATTTTTATTCTAACTTGACAGAAGAGAAGACTGAGGCTTAGTGAGATCTGGCACTGAGATCAAGGTCGTAAAGCAAATAACGAATACAGCTTCGGCTTTAATTCCCCGGTTTTAAAAACGTTTCTTCAAGGAAGCATTCCTACAGTGGGAATGTGACCTGGGCATTCTCTAGCTGTTTCGTTGTACAGACAACTATTTAATGCTGATCGCTCCTCGCCTGCCCACAAATGTCTCCTATTTCCTGTCATCCCGAGAGTTGAGCAAGCCTCCCTACAGCAAAGCAGAGAGTCTGTAAAAAGTCATTCATGGGGCTCCTGGGTGGCTCAGTCAGTTGGGTGTCCGACTCCTGATCTCGGCTCAGGTCATGATCTCAGGGTTGTGGGCTGGAGCCCCACGTTGGGTTCCACGCTCAGCTTGGAGTCTGCTTGAGATTCTCTCTCTCCCTCTGCCCTTTCCCTTGCTTGCTTGCTCTCTCTCTCAAATAAATAAATAAATCTTTTTTTAAAAAGTCATCCATGGGGCGCCTGGGTGGCTCAGTAGTTAAGCGTCTGCCTTCGGCTCAGGTCATGATCCCGGGGTCCTGGGATCGAGCCCCAAGTTGGGCTCCCTGCTCGGCGGGAAGCCTGCTTCTCCCTCTCCCACTCCCCCTCTTGTGTTCCCTCTCTCGCTATGTCTCTCTGTCAAATAAATAAAGTCTTTAAAAAAAAAAAGTGTTATCCATGAGGGCATTTTCTCAGCCCTTTTCATAATGTGAGGTGATCTGGGCCACCGTACCTTGTAAATTCTGAGAAGGGGCATTTTCACACATCTAAATGGGTAGGGGGTACAACCTCTTCAGGACAAAGACCCAGCAGGAAGCCTACCCCAGGGGACTTCTGTTGTAAATCATTTCCTGAGCTGAACAGAAGCGCTGGCTCAACCCCTGGGAGGCGGCAGCTGACACTGCTGTGAACTCTTTATAAAGGTGTCGTCTCGAGAGGCAAGGTGGGGTAGCTCTTGTATCGCCCAGCAGATGTGTTGAAAGAAGAGTGTAGTGGCCAGTAGGAGAAATGCACATATCATGAAGGTCTCAGGGGTGCTGAGACCAAACAAAGGCATGTTTTAATTTTGTTATTCTGCCAAAGGACATAGGGTGATGTGGCAGCAGGAAGTGACCGTATGTCTGGTGTGTCCAGATCAGCCCCAGTTTATGCCAGTTGTCCCAACTTGGAAAATACAGTATATTTTTTTCTCCCTTTTTGCTCTATATTAGGTTTCCCATGCTAACTGATTTCAAAGGAGGGACGGATTTCCTGTCCAAAGCCTCCAAGCGACCCTCTTCTCAGACTTGGAAAATAGCGGGTCAGATCAGTCTCCCAAGATGAGAACACCCATAGCCCTCACTTTGGGCTAACAATGGGACTGTGGCCACAAATTGTAAGTATTCAGTCTGTGGACGTGTGAGAGAACGAAGTCTACTCCCCAAAATAAATAGGGTCCAGTTTGTGGATGTGACTTTGTGCTCAAGGAAGCTTTGTAGAGACTCAGTCATCTGATTGCAGGGATGTCTGTGCTGGAGAAGACCTCAGAGATCAGAGCGTCTTCAAACGAGGTGCCATCACCAGGCCAACGGGTGCTGGATTCGAGCCCCGGGTTTTCCTGCTGTGCCACCCCGTCTGTGGGAAGTGTTCTCCTGGGCTGTGCTGCTACCGGAGCCCCCACAGAGGGCTCGGACGGTCTTTGGACGAGAAGGCGGGAATGAGAGCTGCCCCACCAAAAACGACAGGTGTGTGCCTGCCGGTCACCTCGCATCCCACGCCCCCTCAGCAAACCCTGCCCGCCCCCCCACCGAGGTGGCCCACACATTCTGTTTGCACCTTGCATGGTACTTTTTGGGGATCAGGGTGCAAGGTTTGAGGGAAGGAGCAGAGATTCCTGATTCCAACCCCATCTAAGCCTCCCAGAAATCCATTCTCAGGTTCCACAGGAGCAGGATTGGATGCCACTACCACATAGCATGGTAGCAGGTCCTCAGCTCCAGTTGGACCTCCTGCACAATTAGCATCCTATTTTCTAGTAAATTAGATGCCTCACCTTTGGTGGTCCCCCACCC